GTAAACAAACTGATCATCAGTGTGTGCTGTACGTGCGGGCTTGATCTTGCTGCCAGTGGCTGGTTTGATGTAATAATTATATGCAAAAACGGCAAAACGGGCTAGAGAGGAGATGCGAGCGCGGGGTCAACAGGTTCATAAAAACCTCGCACGTACGTGACAGGAGAAGCAACATGGCTACGATAATGAAAACGCGACGTGACGATTCGAGTTAGACTGGTACGAACGTTAATTCGAGCAAGTCTTTTTCGCTACACTAAGGTTAGATTTATTGCAGCGTGTCAAACTCTCCACCGCGGGGCAGTCTAAGGAAAATGCTCTGGAAAATGCGTGGAAGAAAGCCTCGTCGCGCCATCTAGGGGACGCGATATGTACGAGAATAACTTCAGGGCGTTAAATTAAATAAATTAGAAATCCCTTTTATAGACAAAATGGTAACGCGCTAACCAAAAAAAGTACCAATTACGACCATTGGATTTATTCTCGCCCTACGTGCAGAGTCGAAAGGCTTCTGCAAGCGCCAGAACTGCTCAATTGACCGATTCTCGGGCTTTCTGTAGTACCCAGAGGGCTTTGCGTATATAGTTATACATACAGGGCAGCGCATTGTCTCGAGTGGCACCACTAGGTGGTGCTGTTCGCGCTTCGCGCGTATATCCGTGCTGCAGATCGTCTAGATTTAAAAATTGTCGGGGGGGAAACCACCCAGACCCCCCTTCACACTTCCTACCTACGCCTACGGCACTCGTGCCGTTCGCCTGCGGCATGCAACATGAACAGCGCATGCGCAACAACTGCTCGTACGAATAGCGCATACGAACAGGTGTCCGATGCTTGAACGAATATCCACATCGTTGCTGTGGCTATATGCCTGGCAGCCGGGCACGGTCTTCGATTTCTTAAATGTCCGGCAGTTCCTAACCCTAACCCTTGTTTACTTGAGATAACGCTGAAAATTAAAAACTGCCGGGCATTTAGGAAATCGAAGACCGTGCCCGGCAGCCGGGCATATAGTCCCTCTGTTTCAGGGGAAAAATATTTATTTTTGGGGGGGCTACTTTTCAAGCTCACTTGCATGAAAATAGCTAGTCCGAGATTCCTCTGACCAATGCCCACACCGACGATTTTGGTGGTTTTGGTGTGGGTTAGGTCAGAGCAACTTGCCTATGCAAAACGTGGAATTTCTCCGATCCCGCCGAGGATCGCTGTTTCATTGCTCCAAACTCACAATTGGGGCTATCAATCAAGATCTGATGCACATATCTCGAAAACTGGATAACTTATATGCTTGCTCGCGTTGGTAAGTACACTTGTACTCTTTTACCTTAGTCGTATTTCGATTTGAAAATTTGTTGCTCACAATTTCCCTCCCACACGCACCGGCCATCCATCGTTAATCCAACTGCGTTGGGGGAAACCACGCTACCAAAT